GGGAAATACTTTTCTAAGGCTCGACATTACGGTACGAGGACAGCATACAAAATCAACGTAGATCGGCTCACGGAATATATATCGTGTCGCTTAGCGCCAATATATATCTATTTGATCGAGCAAAAGATACATTGTATAAAATACTTACAATATCTGTGCTCCGTGTGACAGAAGGCCCGTAACCCGTATTGAGAGGGTTCATCTTGAGACGATTGTTTACGCGGCGCCAACACTTAGAGCAATGAGATATCACCACTTTACCACCGGTTCATAATCGTGCATTACTCTTATACACGAATCTCTCGATGTATCGTTGATTTTCACGCATGAAATCGTGTGATCACGCGTGCCTGCGCTCGCGGTCGATCCTTGGAATCCATGACAGGTACGAGCACGGGTATGGCTGCGAGCCGCATGCGCCAAAACACAAGTTATCACGCTCTACTACCAAGGCAAGCGGGTAACATATAGATGAGAAACTCCGCTTTAAATTTAAATTTCTACTACCAAGTCGCCACACCGATTCAATTGTATTCACTCGAAACCTTAATTAATCGAACAAATTAAAACTAATTAGGACACGTCCCTTCGCTTCTTTCTCCTTTCTCCGTTGGCGTTCGTGACAGCTTTCAATTTGTTGTGTGTCAAATCAATTACTCGATCGATTATGAAAAAAATGGAGTTTTAGATTAACAAACGATTCACGAGAATTATTAAATCTTTCATTTTTTATGTTGATTATTACGTACCTGGTTTTATCGTTAAGACGTAAGATAAAAATGTGATGACGTTTTAGCTTTTATTCACAAGTAATAAGTAACTTGTATAATTTCAACTTCCGGTATATTTGTGCACATAAATTCATGTAATTATAAATTTTCTATTCAAAAGTTGAATTTAATACAGCGATTATTTAACAAAAATAATAGTATTAGAAATGTTTATTTAATTAAATTCTTTAATTAATTAAATTATAAAATATATATGAAATAACAATACATTTGATTGATTTCAAATTTGAATGACTACACTTGCGTGATTTGACTCTATTTGTAATTTGAATTATACACGTTAGTTCGTTTTGCCGTGAAATCCCGCGAACATTATTGTGCGATTGGTAGTGAAATTCATGTGAAAAAAGAAGCCGAAATTTGGGATAACATCGCAATTCTTGGTCTCGTTGCTGCAGAAATAACTACGAATGGTAAGTTTATATAATTATTATAAATTATTACAAAAGTCTTAGAGTAAATCAAAGAGAAAGTAACGGAGAAATTTTTAGCTCAATACTCAATTACAAGTGTATGACTGATTTTAAAATAAATATATGATCATTTTATCGGTCATGATGAAAATAAGAATTTTATCCAAAAATAAAAAATCATATGCGTTTTGGATTATTACTACCGTAAAAAAGATATAGAGAAGATTCAAATTCAAACATAGCAATCATAACTGCCCTTTCGCGGCCATATTGCATTTTCATTCTGTCGTTACATTCGAAAATTATATAAACGATATAAAATATGAACAATATAGAAAGGTACTTTGTAATCAACAATATAGAAATCAACCATTTAACGATTAACGTTATTTTAAAAAATTACGACATAACATAACATTTTAAATTACATACATACTTTATTATGCATATGAATTTTAACATAGAGAGACAAAATTATTCCTTTACAATGAATCGAGATATTCTCTATTCATTTTCATAAATGACAACAAATATGTTCAATAATCTAGACTTTATTGAGCGCATTTTAAATATCATTCACGGTGTTTAGCAATTATTTTAAATTTTCTCGTTGTTACGATACCAAAGAGGTCATGAATTTTTATTTTATAAAAAAGAATAAAAAATGCCGTTAACGTAACGTATAATGAAGTATGATATAATACATGTATGTTCAAGATTAAAATCTAATCCGACGCATGAAATTACATAAATATTAACTTTCACAAAAGTTGGAATTTCGCTAAAACTCAGATAGAATAAAATTGTTATAGAAAAAGGTTCTTAAAAAGAACTCACATGTTACAGTAAAATATAACACGCGAAAGAAATTAGATTATAAAACACATTGGCACAAAGATCTTCCCCTCTTGGTATCTATCCATTTATACGTTTAACCATTTATACGTTTAATCATTCGTCAGTTAATCTAAGTATTTCAAACAACTATTTAAATATGCGCCGTAAAGTGATAATTTTGAGAAAATCGTATTTATGCCTTGAGGTTACTCATTTACAATAATGCGATGAAACGTCATTAACATCGTGTCTCGTATAGACCACTTCGGCCTATGTATCTCACCCATTTTATAACATCATGATCGGAATAGTTCAATTTGGATTCAAATACTTTCAAGTACCGAACTTTGAATCCAGAGGGCGCAAATGGTACTTCGAAATTCATCGATATAGGCGGCCGGGTCCACCTCTTTTTTGTATCAGTTTCAAGCAAATCGATTTCCGCTGATAACTGAGTTTCTTTCATACCGGCCATACGTTTAATTTTCCATACAATAGCATTTTCGGATGCTTTATATTTTGCTTTTCCTTTCAAGCAAATCAATTGTACTCCAGCGGTATTCAGAGGAGTAGGTACTCGAACTTCGATCTTTTGTCCCAACAAAGATGGTTTAAAGTTTGACTTCAGTACTGCTTTCACTTCCATCTTTGTACGTCCCACTTCACGCACTAATGGAATTACGCGGAAAGGCAATGATATATCTTTGGTGGTGCGATATCTGCAAGACATTACCAACAATTATTAATTAAGATTATTAGTTTTACATTCATAACGTTTCCCCAAAGGATTTTTACCTCATCAACTCAAATTCTCCATCAGGAGGTATGAAACTGATAGCATGTTCTGTCTCGAATTTACTAAGCTTGACACACTGATGAAATTGGCAGTCATCGATTACAACAACAGGTTTCCCAGATCTAGCACCTGTAGGATCATCTCCACCTCCTCCCAAACCGCTTCCACCTTTCATACCTTTAGCCTCCATAACAATCTTATCATTGATTCCAAACTTGCATTCTGGCATTCCAGACAAATAAGATTTCATCACAACCTGTTACGGTAGAAATGTTAGATTAATAAGTTTTCCAAAACCTCAGCTGTTCCCTCATTTTATCCCTTGAATAATAACCTTCCCAGCAACATGTGCACTTAGCACTTGCCCTTGAGGGCTCATTAAGAGATTCACATATTCAAGAACATCAAGGAATAATTCATTACGTCTGTACTTGATACCCTCTCTTCTCCATCCAATCTGACCAGTTACTTGGGAGGTTATTTGAGCCTGTTCTTCCTTTGTTGCAGATTTTACTCCTTGTTGAGTAATGAATGTTTTCAACACTCCAGTATCACAATTCTGTGGATACCCAAAATCCAAGATTTCTGAACAATAAATTTAATTATACTTTAAAAACAAAATATGTTTTGCTTATGGAAATATCTTTATATGACATATTAAGGTACTAACCATCCAAAAGCTCATAGATTAGCACAAAGTTGTTCTTGATATTCTCCTCAGAAATCTTACCAAAATATGATTGCATAACATCGATAATTTTTAATAAGAACTCAAAAACCATTGCAGCATTAACATTTTGTTTAGTAACAGCAGCCAGCCAAATATTAGCACGTTTTATATGAAAGAATGATGTTCTGGCAATATTGGTAACAGGGGAGCGTACTTGTTGCCTAGCATGGATAACATTGACACGAAATGCATCAACTGCATTTCGTCCAATGTCATCTCTATATACTCTGGAGATAAGTACCTCTCCCTTATGATTGTAGACAAATAAACCCCCTATCATTTTGACAGAGGGTACCTTTTATTATTCCAATTACAATCAATCTATAAACACATAATATTTATTTATTACCATACAAAATTTTGGATTTATCAAAATATATTTGTAAATCTTATATACTTTCTAAGATAAAATGTATCTAATATTTAATATAATATATTTATCAAATTTAACACTTTTTTAATTACAACCTTAAAATGTTTAATTTTAGGAATTTATATATAATGATGAAAATCTGTTGTAACATAAATATAGCACGTATTAAAAAACATTGTTAGACGTCCAAAGGAATTAAAAATCAATGAATGCAAGTAGTGATATGAAAATTTTTTTGGGACAATACTGTATTAATTCAATTCAAATACTATAAAGACTAGCTTTGAAGAAAATGAGAGGAGCAATTTATCTAAAAATTAACGTAAACTTCTTACATCAAGTAAAAGATAACGCCCCTTTTCTTAAATGACATTTGAGGTTCTCTAATATGTCTTGTAAACGGTTAGTATTATTGATCGGAAATGAACGGCCTATATCGTAAGCACTATCATTATCGAAAATTCTCCGAAAATTATGAAATGCAAATATCCATAAATATAAGTTTCAGAATTGTAAAAGATCACTTACACATGACTCTTAATGCGATTAATAAAAATAAGAGACTAATTTGTATCAGCCTCCGAAACGTACAGTAACAGTACCAACCTACTGATACAAGTGCGAACTATCAAATGACGAAAGCAACACCCACTTCTTTATACTACGTATCTCAAAGACATACTATTACGATAAGTTAAGTTTAAAATAACAATAGATTAGTATAATATATAGCAATGAGTTGTATTGAAATTTAGATTTATCTATCCATCATTATGATTGCAAATATCATAATTATAAGTTTATGGGGCAAGTAGGGTTGTTGTATTGATTTCAAAACCGGTAGTTGTACATTTATATGTTTAATCACTATAATAAAAATATTAAAAAGATATTGAATTTATCAACAATTTACAAGTTTACAGTCTACTAATTAAATTCTTCCTTTGCACGCTCAGAAAATTTTTTGTTTGCGCTGATTATATTTCTTTATGCACGTAATACAAAAATTCAACAAAATATATGTATAAGATTACACTCTATGTTTTTAATGATGTAGCAAATTCATGTTTCTTTTGTTATTTGATATCTATACATACGATATATTTTAATTAAATATAAAAAACAGAGTTCAATAATTTTCTTGGTAGATATTTGAAAATCTTCTTATACCCAAAAGATACTATATCAAGTGTTTATACCAACGCCTGCGCGTTGTAATATTTTCGGATACATGTGTACCTAGTATTACAAAATGATTTACATAAGAAAAAACTGAATATGAATACATAGTTATGATACTTTCGTTAAAGTGATCATATCTTTAATTATGGCTATGGCTAACCAAGATGCAAATAATAATAACCTTGCTTTGAGGGAAAATTTAGTAAGTTATTATTATTCTTAGGCTATATATATGTATATATATATATTTACTTATGTATATTTATTTAAATATCTTAATATTTTATCATATATTAAGGAATTTCAGCAAAACTATACGAAGTAAAAGTAATCATTGATTGATTATATAAGTATTAAGGATAAAATAATGTAATAAGTATACATTTTTTGTTAAAAATATTTTAATATAAAAAGTTGATAAAAATTTTTCCTTAAGGTAAAAACAGCAGTAGAATTTTTACAAAATCCTAAAGTACAAAGTAGCCCTATTGGACGTAAAGAAGAATTTCTTCAAAAAAAGGGTTTAACAGAGGAAGAAATTAAAAGAGCATTTAAATTAGCTTCTATTGACATAACGATTGATCAAAATGTTGTTCGTAATTCAAATGATTATACAGTGGTCCCTATCCCACCGAGACAAATGTATCCATATTTTCAAACATACCCATACCAAATAACTCTTTTCCAAAGAATTAAAGAATTCTTCAATGCTACGGCTTTAATTGGAGCTACTATATATTGCATTTATTGGTTTTACAAGGTATTATCGTATGTACATAGTGCAAGCCTTACTTTCAAATCATGTAACAAGTTAATCGTATTCTACTTCATTGTAGAAATTTATTGAACCATTTCTATTTGGCCGGAGAAAGAAGGATAGCGTAAAGGATTCAGTTACTGAGTTAGACAAAACTATTCAAAATTCCATGAAAGAAGTAAAAGAATCTATTTCTAAAGTTGAGGGAGATGTCCAAAAGTTGACACAGAATCGATCTATGGACCCAATGGTACCTCAATTGGTACAAGAATTGAAACAAGATTTAGCTAGTCTCAAATCTTTACTTTTGTCAAGGTATAATATACATTTATGTATGTAATTATGCTGTAACATGATTACATATTGAAGTATATTACGACACAATACGTAATCAACAATTAGAATTTATAACATTTATTCCTATACAAGATAATCATTCTGTTTATACATCATATACTATTTTATTTTTAAATTTATACAATAATCTTAAGATATAATTTTTATACAAAAGTTTTTTTTCTCCTTCTTTATGCTGATTCACACACATACAAACATGCATATATTTCAGATCCAATCACTCAAATACATTCATTTAAAAATACAAAAGTAAAAATTTTTTTTAATAAAAAAACTATAAAATATATCAATCAAATTGTGATTGATTACAAAAAATATATAAAAAACACAGATTCTACGTTTAATATTCTTGCATAATTTTGTAATTAGTATTACCAAAATTGTATAAAATTTGTACGTAGAAAGTCAAGTAATTTACAATTATTCGTATTTACCGAAATTTTGAATTTTAAACAGAAAACAATTTCCAAGTGCGCCAGCATCAGTACCATCTATATCTATACCAACATGGCAATTAGATGCTGCAGGTACAAGTCAGGAAAAATCAACTGAACGAGAAGATGATGCTGGAAGTGGAAGTAGCGCTAATAATTCAGATAGTTCTCTGGAAATGATTCGCGAAGATCCGCCTAAGGTGTAAATTCAAGATAATTCATAAACATTCACTTCCACCATAACAGTCTTCAATGTACAGAATATTCTGTGATGTCTATTAAAAGAAATAGATGATTTTAATCACGTGTAATATATATTAAGATTCGAACTTTTACTCTTATTATATTACCGATTCAACTTTTATTTTGACCAATTCTGTGTTGACTTTTGTGTCCAAAAGTCACATAGTAATCGTTTTGGTTCCTATAAAAATGTAAAGTTGTTTGCAAAACAAAGGGACATATATAATGCATCATATTTTAAATAATATTAAATTTTTGTAAATGATGCTTGTTACTTAATTTTTATTTATTTTTCTTCTTTTTGGGAATCTCTGAAAGAACTAACATTTGTTCGGCTTTGATTATTAGCATCAATCTTCCATCCCTGTTGTTAAAGGCCTCGAATATTGTTTAATAATTTTATGATATTGAAATAAAAAAGTAAATAAAAAATAAAACATTTTCTTAACAATATTCCTAATGCACAATCACATTACTATTTAACATTGTTTATTACTTAGAACAAATCATCTATATGAAATATTTAACGATATAATGGGAAAGGTATAAAAACCAAAAATACAAACTAGCTTTACAAACTAAATATGTACATTTTAATTCATATTTGAATTTAAAAAGACAATCGCGATACATAGAACCATATTAAGCCAAGGAATATTTTATACAAGTTGCTTTGCAGTGTATATCTGAAATTAAAAAATTAATATTTCCTTGACATATAGATATAATTGCATGTATGTGAGCATACATACATGTACATACAGGTATACTATGTACAGAAAGACATTATTTTATTAAATGTGGTGTAATCCTGCTTTATCTTATACCTATTACCCATGGCTACTCTTATTACTTTGGGGAAATAAATTACTATTAATAATATAAATCCTTGTGAGCAATTCATTTGATATACGTCAATAAATAAACAAATGTTCTCATATGCAATTTATTTGAGAACAAATTATTATTTCAATCTTGTGCACATGGGCATATTTTTTTAAATTGAAGTTTTATGATTAAGTGAAACTAACATTTATATATATATTTATGTATCTATATATATAAATGTTATGTGAAATGTTTAATGGCTTGATTACACTTTTCATTCACTCAAACCAATCATTCTGCAACAAACACATTCCTCACCATAGTACAAACCATGTAATCTTCAATATTACTTTGAATGCTTAAACAAGCGAACAAATGTACTGTAGAGCTACATGTACGATTACATCCGTTCACTGTTACTTTATTCGTCTATTTTTTTATCTCTTTAACATCGTACATTGCGTTTTAAAGAATTTTAATTTTTTTAAAAATTTATTGAAATCAAATATCGCTTCCTCATAGTTCTTTAATACTTCTTTTTATTATTAGGTATATCCAGGATAGCTGCCTCACTGATACAGTGAGTTACAGCGAAGTCCATTTAAAGTGTGACTTAGTAGTAGATTATCCTTTTTTTAATACTACACTTTAAGTTTAATAATATTATATATAACAGAAATAATTTGTTTAAAAAATATAACACTTTTTTATCATGTGTGGCAAAATACTTAAAATGTTTTGCATATCTCCACTTAGAACAAAATTATTTCAAGTAAAATATATAAATCTATGTTAACTGAAAATCTTGATCTTTGGCAAATACATTTTTTTCTTAAAAAGCTCTGTATGTTTGTCGTGTATGCATGTGTGTATATGTGTAATTGTTTTTGCGTATGTGTGTACCACTCGCGTACGTACATATATAGTATTGCGCACACATGAACATAACGAAAATACCAGGATATTTTGTGCTAATGTAAATAGTTTGGTTAAAGGTCCCACTCCCTTTCAGACTTACTCGCTACAGTTTTGTTTTCTAACGAGCGTAGAAAATGAGGACAGGGTGTGTGTCAGGGATCATTGTCGCATCGTTTAGTCAGCATCCTAATGTCTATTAACACAGTACCAGTAACAATAATCCTAGATTAAACACGCTAAACGTTTTGTAGTTCGGTCTCTAATAAATCTAATTTATTAATTAATCCAAACTGTGCTACCAAGTATGATGTAAATGTAAATTCCTTGAAAGAACAGACCGCACGTCCTGTGTAAAACGAAGTGCATCCAGAACTGGAAGTAAACTTAACAGAGCAGTATCTCCCGCGTCGCTAAACCATGACTTTATTGGTATTGCATTATCTGCCATAAACAGAAAAAAGGGAATAAACAATTGCTTTCTAAAAATGCTTAACACGTGAATAACATTTTTAAGTCTAAAATATCTAAAAACGAAATATCAATTAAAAAATTATAGTTGTCCAATATAACATCCAAGAAAATCCGATCATACAACACTTTCTTTATGTAAAAATATACTACTCAATTTCTAAAGAATGGATTATGATTTTCTTGGATGCTGGAGATAAAAAGCATTGAATAAAAATAAAATCTAATCTTTAATCTAGTACCTGATACACAGGAATTATTAAAAAAAACGATTAAAACAGTCGAAATTAGTTCATTGCCAATTCGGCGTAGTGTCCAGTGCTTATTCAAGTGGAGGAGCATTGGCAATTGAGCATATTTTACATCTATCCATAGGCCTGTATTCAGTGCTTGCTTACAGAACATCAACGCTGATAGCTGCAAATAGATACGTTTTTCAATAAAATTTATCTCGGTGTTCGATTTCATTATTTGTTTACCCAGTCAAACTATATAAAATGTAAGTGTAGGAACTAAACGACATGAAAGAAAAATTATAAAATATGTCAATGTTTTCTCTGTTATTAATGCGCGCAGCACCGTTTATTTAAAATAATTACAGCAACAATCATAGCAACGATAATAACAGTAATAGATATACCGAAATTGGTTTAAATTAAAAAATTAATAAATTCGTTCTAGTAGAAAAAGTTTCATAAAATAAACTACGTATCTTAAATAATGTTTTAAATCTTAGTTTCGATGTTTTAGTTTACAAAATAAAATCGCAATGATGGAATAATTTGATATCAATGGCTGCATAGACAATATAAACTCATAAAATAATATATAATTCTGTATTTATCTGTATCCCTAACAACTACAATCGGTACACAAAACGTCTTTAATCATTAAAGCATATGGACATCAGAATGTATTTGTAGAATGTTATTTATGAGTGCAATTTCTGAATGAATTTGATTAAAAGTTGTTGAGTAATGAGATTAGGAAATATTTAATCAATATTTTTAATGTAGATCGAGATAGAATTATTCCACTACACATAGTTGTGCACATGTAAGCAAGTTCTGACTACAGGTTGTGATATATAGTACATGATACGACAATAGTATTAAAATTATAAAAACAATCCTATATGTAAATATGCATACTAAATTCATGTATATATTCATTTCATCTTTTATTAATTGTTTTCGTATTTGTAATAATTTGTTCACAATTATTGTTGTATCATGCATAAAATTAAACAGATTTAGAATACATGATTATTTTTAATACATACGAAAAAAATTAAAAAATTAGGAAATCGTGTTAAATCAGACAACTACATTACAAGAGTCATGAAAAATTAATATTATTGCATTAAGAAAAATAAATATTATGAATACTTACGAGGATAAGCCCTGTAGGCTCCAGGACTGTTATCAAGTATAAAGACTGACGCTAGATCTGAACAAATTGCAGATAGATCTTTAGTATAGGAACCCATTTCTGGTGTACAATGTTGTCTATAGTATCTTCTTCTTAAAATACCCCTGTTGTTATCTAACTTTTCTGCAACAGCTGCTCCATAGATTTCCATGGAAGCAGTGAAAACCACTAGTTCGTACCTTTAAAAAGAGGAAAAAGAAAGAGCATTTATTTTTCAATATATTTAATAGCATATGTTATATTAAAAATATCAACAGTTCATAATTGATATGATTTCTTATCTAAAGGCATAATAGGTACAAAGTCTCAATTGAAATATAAATGAAAGTTATTTTCTGATAATGAAACTTACCATTGACTAACAATATCTAGAAAGAAATCTACATGTGGTCTTTTGTGGACAAAAAATCTGACTGGATGTCTATCTATTTTCACTTTAAGAATAAAATCTGGTGGTGTACCAAATCTAACTGTTGGCCTTGCTACTCCATCATGATGGGAGTGAATTAATGTTTCATCCAAATCCAATACTAGTACTTTCCTTTTAACTATACCTATAATACATTTTAGTTATATATATACATTAATAGCTTATAGCAACACATCTAACATAGAATATCAGTAATACTTACTAAGTCTGTGCCTTGACAATGGAGATAATGGGAAGATCTCATATTTAACAGGTTGCATTTGTGATATCTAAAAATGCATCAATTATAAAACATGAATTATTTATTTAATATTTAGCATATGCATAATAATAATGCCTCTATTATCAACATAAATAAGCAATAGAAATAATGACTGAACGCAGTATGCTTACATAAAACATATTTATATTAATGGAATATGACATGTGTAAAAATAGGGGGTAAGGGAAAGTAATTAAAAGATTCCTCAAATTAAGATACTTTATTGTTTTATGGTAAACAAATGTCATTATTTACCTGGCTGTTAAAATATATCTAATATGTGAGAAACATAATATATAGAACATAATATATACATCGTTTACTAATTAAAAACGCTGATTAACAATGATATAGCAAAAGCATATGATACTTCAAACCTCAAATGACCCTCCAGAAAATATGATAATCATGATTATTCTATATGTTTTAACATCAAAAGCAAAAGAAAGGGATTACAATGTTAAAGAAAAAAGCTTTTAATCATTGCACGGAATGTTTTAACGTAATTAACGCTGCATTATGAACACGCTATATTGTGACAACATGATCATAACAAATATTCACTGGAACGGACGGAAGATTGTTGTAAATGGAGAAACGTGAATTAATGTATTTAATGGAGAAATTGACACAATACCAGGAGGATATTATGTTATAAAAATTGTAAGGAAAAAAATGCTAGTAGAGGCGCGAAGCACCTACTTACGGCTCTAACCTGCTTCTTGAGGAGAAAGAAGACGCATGTCCACAATCGGGAGGCCATCAAGAGGAAAGCTCTCATCCCCATCTGCAATTGCTTCAGCATCTCTACTGATCTTCTTACCGGGCCGAAGTCCGGCAACACTTGATCTCCAGTCTCGCCTACGTTAGGGTCTCTTTTTCCCTTGCAACACTCCACTTCACGTTATAGTATTATACAAACTTTATCGTAAACAAACGTCTTTTACGCGAATAGGAAACATGGAATCTGAATATTCATCAACATTACGAACCTTCCGCGTATAGTGGCGGCGTGCACATGCAAATACGCTTTTCCATATCTTGTCATGTTTCGGTAAAAACTACAGGCAAAATCTATGTACGAATCTTTTTCACATACACCACGCAGTAGCCGCCATCTTTCGCACATCGACCCAATTTTTCCATGCGCTTAGCTAGCGCGCATGATATTCTCAAAATTCTACTTTATGTGTACCATACACCGTTTACATTTCCCGCGAGCCGACTGCATAAGAGAAAATTGAGAAATATAATGATCAGACTAATCATAAATCATTGTACATATATATACAAATATATATATATATATATATATATATATATATATACACACACATATATATATATATCTAATAGGATGGTATTATATAATAACAAGAAGTTCATTCATTATTCAAAAGTTTAAATACAAATTTCGGATTTAAAACATTGTTCTTTTAAGTTTTCAAAGATTTATATTGCATGTGATTAATTAAAATCACATCTTATAAAAAAACCAATACTTAGTGTTCTGTACATCATATGTATTAATGAATACAACAAACAACACACTCGATTCTGTCGGCAAACAACAATTAGATAAGGAATCACCAAAGTGTTATCACTTTCTTTTATGGAATGAAAGCACGAATATCTGCTATATCAAATTGATATTAAAGCGTGACATTCAGTTTTTGCTGTTATCAAAAAATATACCACGCGGTCAATTCTGTTTTTTTTCCCTATTGATTACAAAGATGACGCAATATTTGATCATTTCACTGCTATATTCTTCCTGAATAAGTTAAAAAATTAATATTATTCAAATTCACTAGGAAATCGCCAATTTATTCTATCATCTGGGATAATATTAATTAAACAGCACGAATTATTGTTTAGTAGGAATTTATAAAAAGTATTACTAACTATTTCTGGACACCTCTTTTTGGATTAATAGAACTTACCGTAAAAGTGAAAACTTAAAAATAACTTTCTCTGGGGCTTGTAATTTGCAATTATATACGTTCAAATATGTATGACCAGCATTACAATTATGTTATTCTCGTATTATTGGTTTAGATTTTCAAAATTTCTGTCGATTCGATTGGGTAAACTGTCGCTTGATCCTCCTCTCACAATTCAGCGTCCATTTCAATAAATCTGATTGCTCGGTTTTACACCAATCAAAAACAGACGTTGAACCAAACGGAAAGGAAGCGTCGGCTTTCTGTGATGTTACTAACTCGCAGATGTAGCAACGGTATCAACCTTAAAATCTAGTATGACGTTTAATATACAGGCAGCTGCTTACGTTAGATCAAAATACAGTGCTCTTAGTGATTGGCTTGCACGACTAAGCTAAATTTCAATTGAATTAGGAAAATACCGATTATTCTTGTATTTCATAAACTGTACCATCAAGCTGTAAGGAGCACGATGACGGATTTAACAGGGTTACGAATGAACGTGGCCGCTCTGAAACGGGTAGACCCCTATGTAAAAGATATTCTGGAAACTGCGACACACGTAGCACTTTATACCTTTAACGCAGTTAATAATGAGTGGGAAAAAACGAATATTGAAGGTGCTCTATTCGTATATTCGCGAAATGGCGAACCCTATAACAGTGTTCTTATCATGAATAGGTAACGTATAATGTATATACATGTATACATACATATACATGTACATTTTTGTATTGTATTTGTCTATATTTTTTAAACATATTACAAATATTAAGCGTGCGAGTATTAACATATGTATAATTTATACTATTCATTAATACATTCAGTGAAAATAACGTTCTGGGAAACATGTTTTATAATTAAAGGCACAATGAATATTTTAATATTTTCTATAACTCATTATTTCATGTATTGTATTAGAAACATTGTTTCTATTAGATTTGCATTAGTAAAACAAATTAATGTATATGATTTAATTGCAATATTATATATAGTTTGCTAGGTATTTGAAGTATCATAATACTATATACCGTATAGTGTTCAGCAATCTTGTTATAGGTTATTATTTGACATTATACAAAAGATAATTATATATCAAAAAAAATCTGTGCGAGTCTTAAATAAGCCTATTATTTTATTAATAACATTCTTACAGATTAAATACAAATAACCTAGTAGAGCCAGTTACGCAAGGTTTAGATTTACAACTCCAAGAACCTTTTTTACTCTATAGAAATTCCAGATGTAATATTTATGGCATTTGGTTTTACGATAAAGAAGAATGTGTACGCATTGGTGCAATGTTGAACAAACTTATTAAAGAATCAGAGGAAAACCGCAAGACTTTCAATAAACCTGCTGTTAACGTAAAAAAAGAATCCGGCCCTAATGCCAGCAATGTTGATATATTTAGTATGCTTAGTAAAGCTCAAGAAGACTTTAATACTAATAGAAATAATAATAGTAGTGGAGGTGGTATCAAAGAAAGGCATAGTACTAAATCTCCATTAGGTACTCCTACAACTGATGATGTATCTGGACCGTTAGCTATGCCATTAGGACCAGATGTTACTTCACAGAGTGTAATGGACTTTTTTGCAAAAGCAAAAGTTAGTATTACACGTTCAATCGTATATAGTGTTTTAAAGTAAGGAGTTGGAAATATGTTAGATTTTACAATCTTTCTAGGTTAATACTGGTCACTTTAAGGCTGGAGATCAGCCTACTCCAGGGGGTACTGTTGCAAACGAAAGTAAGCCTTTGCTTGCTCGGTTAATGTCACACCCAGCAGCTCACACAGTTGAACATATTGAAAAACAACACAGATCTATAACCCCTCAACCAGCTACTCAACAACAGACTACTCCAACTACTATATTGACTGCTAACAGTGCTTGTAATGCAACAGCTTCGAACAGAACTAAAAAACGAAACAGAACTGCTTCTCAACAAGATTCAATGATACCTACACCTGCGTCTATAACTCAAGAAATTTTAACACCTATGAATCAAAGTGCTGCCGATACAAATGGAACAACGGGATTTCTTAGGATACAGTCACCCACAAATGCATCGACTTCTACTTTAACGAATCATCAAGCATCAGATATTATTGGTCCTAGCAATTCAAATCCACTCGCATCTTTGTTTGCTCATGCATCTGCGACAACGGTGAGTGGATGTATATATCGACACGTGTTAGGTTGTATATTTATATAAGTACGCGAAATTTGAAATTTTTATTTTAATCCTATCAGGCATCGGAAGATATTATTACGCCTCCCACTCTATCAGGAAGAGGATCAGCACCGGCATTAATTCCTCCTGTTATGTTCGCTGCCCCTAGTCCACCTGAACCTTTAACCAGACCGTTAGAACCATTGACAAAAAATCAGTTTCTTCGAGCCTTTAACTATTTATTGAGAAGTGATCCCGATTTTATCAACAAACTTCACGAAGCTTATGTTAAATCGTTCGGTGAAATATTGTCCTAGAACTATAATTTGTTAACCGGTATAAATGGAACCCGTCATGCGGGTTGTGACGGTCGACTGATTATAGTATCGAGCGAAACCTAGTATTTCTATGTTACATGTACATAGATGGAACACAATGTCCTGCTCGAATTTCAATTGAACTTGACTGGTAGCCCAATTTTTGGGAAGATCAAATCATAAATACAAATAAAGATACATACCTTAAACAGTATTTTTATAAGCTACTACACTTTTTCCCATGAAAAAGAGTGAAATGGATCATGGATGCGTAACGAGGTATAAAACCTGTGGAAATTGTAAAAGGAAATGAGACGAGGAATGTGAAAATTGTACGATTTTAAACTGTGATGCCAAAACATTTATATTATACTAACATTTTATGATTACTATTTCGAAATGAAACGAGACAAATTTTCTGAGCCGATCAAATAGATTACATATTTTACGGAATAATGACATACCCTTCCTATATATCGGGTATCGGTATGGTATGTATATGTAATTATAAAAAAAGGAGGAAATAAATAGAGACCGATTACTGAAAAATTATTTCAATGTATTTTAAGTCGATTTTCGTATCGATTTGTCCCTCATGAGTAACACGTGTTGTAAAACAAAGTCGTGGTACATTTAATAATATAATTATCATACAAGTTATGTCATACTATCACAATATAGTATATTTATATGGAATACGATTACTATGTCAGGAGTACGTGATGTACTAGAATAATTGATTTGCGGAAGAAGATATCTTATACAATTAAAAAAACAAGTATCAGACTTTTTAGTGTTCTTCGTTCATTTTTCATCGATATCGTTTTTCGATGGAGAAAATGATTCTTATTGCAGGATTATATGTGTATCCCTTGAGATTATATTGTAACATTACTATGGTCTTCTGTCTAAAACCGTCTTTAACATTAGAAGTTCGACGATATCGTAAAACGCGATTACAATTACAATTTGTACGCCGCCTAAATAAGCGAATATCATTTAATATACGATACAAAATACATAATCTATTTACAATGCTACAATAAAGGCGTTATCATGCGTATCATTTTTTTTTCTTTCTTTTTTTTTTTTGCTTTTAATTAACGTCATATACAAAGGCCCTGTTTTATTGACCTTTTCTCACTCTTCAATCTTTCCTGTGATCATTCACAGGATCGTCGTTCAAAGGAATTGCAGCTATCGATGCACAACACGCAATGTTATAATTTACAGCAGTCGCTTTTTTCACAAAATTCACAGCCAAGTGGAGCTATACAAGCCCGCTAGCTTTCTAGTTAGTCTTACTAATGTCTATCCGCTAGAACACTTTATCGAACGTCTTTGGGATTGCGAGATTATTAAACGAGAGGCACTTTCGGTGATCCTAATAACGGTGGTCCATTATCGGGCATTTGATGTGATCCGAGTTTGTTGCTTTGCGTCGGTACAGGCTGAAGTAATCTAGTGGCAAGAGTGGCCAGTATCAGTAGAGCGACTAGACCGCAAATCGGTACAGCGATTGTGGCAGTCTTGAACCATCCATCTGTCGCTTGACCTCCGTGATTGATCGGCTGCACCGGACTGAGGAAAGGTCGTTGGTCACTCACCAGTACTGTTAACAATAAAAAGTTTTTCGTTACATACCTAGCTGCTTGAAATAAATTATGCAAAACGTTTCATTATTCATAAATTCACACAACCTTCGACTTTCGCCATTGTTTTAAACCACCGGTTCGAGGCTTCGTAAAATTCTCTTCCTCTCTCTCTTTCTACATATATATATATATCTTAACACATATTTATCGAACAAGTGGAAATCATTGAACTCAAGAATTTTTTCAACGTATGAGAAATAAATTTGAATAATCGAGTTAGAAGGAAATGATATTGTGTTATCTCGCACTATCTATACAAAACAAACGGAGCGTGACTTGTATTAGAAAAAAATTCGTTACAAAATAAACGCCGAGACGCGTACGAAAATAGCATTATAGAGAAATGCGAAAGCGCCACTTCTGATGGCATCGCGTCGAGTTAAGTCCACGCAATTTTAATGATCTTGCAATGAGAATATTCATTCAACCTTGAAGAGTCTTGTTGAGCCTGTTTCTCATGGCTGGGCTATCCACGTGGTTACAGAGATCTTGTTCGCAACAGAGGTATCCCGTAGGACATTGCTGTTCTTTGAAGCTCTCATCGAGGCAGCCACTGTAGGCGCTATGTTCTGCTCTTAATAATGATGGATAAAAGCAGCCCCTGCCACGGCACATGTATCCTTGAGGCACACATTCCGGTTGATTGCAATAACACCTCACTTCTCGGACGTATGGCGAGTCTGCGAATGGAAAAAATATTGAGATTAATTAATTTTTGTTATTACGAGAGGAATTCAAATCGAAAGATTTAACAAGATTAAAAAGGACCGGTGAAAAGAATTGCATGCGAGGACATCAAGTTTATAATTTGAGAGAATCACGGCAATGAAACAGGAATACTATTACGAGATCAGCAATATAAATTATCTCCAGCGCTACGCTCGAAATTGTCGGACAGAGGGAGAGAAGTTTGAGGTCAGAGAACATTCTTCTCAACTGGAATAATACCGAAAGTGCGATAAAGCGAACAAGACGTCTTTCGTTTTTCATGCTGTTTTTGATAATAATAGCCTTGATTGATAATAGATGATTCATTCTGATTAATGATGCAATATTACGGTTCGTCTTTACATACGCTAGATTCCCTTGTACTTGTCTCCAACATCTCGGATATAACAAGATTCTATCAACGAATGTATATACTAGTTAAGCGATATACTGCACGTTCTACTAATTGATTACATTTCATCTTTATTTATAAGCTCGTATAGTGGATAAGACAATTCGAGCGATATAATTCCACTATCGTTAAGCGTTTTCACGTTCAAGCATCTTAAGCATAACTGCGTTGATATACTTGGCGGCCTCCCTTAATGAGTACCCGACTGAAAGTCATAAAAGATTATACCCTGGTCGTTGCAACAGCTATACAGAGAGCTTACTTTCGTTTACCTGCCGGCTACCAAGCCCTCCTTCGTTCGTCGATGAGACTTATAATTTTATATAGGCTCGTATAAATATCTTAGTACATACATAATTCGACAAAATGCGAATCGGCATAAGATGTATATCTACGAGTACAGCGTATATCTCGCTAACGTATTTGCCAAACAAATTTCTTAAAATAAATGGTAGAAGGACAACAAATTTTGATAGAGAGTAATGTTTGAGATGTTTTGCTCGAACAGACTACAACCGGGGGGTCTGGAAGAAATCCACGGCGAGAAACAGGCTCGATACAACACTGGGACCGTGCTTGACATAGCGTAAATATACATTACACCGAGAGAGAGTAGAGTTCTCTCCGCGGTGTGTTAATGAGGGCCGTATGAAATAAACAAAGAGACACGGAGCAGTTCGCAGTGACTAACCATCGTACCGCCTGTTTATTATGATAATGCGAAGCCATCTTTATCCGTGACTTTACTCTCGCCCGTTTACTCTTCTCTCAGCCTCTCCCTTCGCGTTTCCTTCGGCCAACGGAATAATTTATTTTGCTGCACAAGCTGCCATGTGGATTTCACTGCAACCAGCTACGGTTTAACGAAATAATTCATTAGCATGATTGAACGTTGCCTCTCGACTATTCTCATGAAACTCTCAAGGCGATATCGCGGCAACCTTCTTCTTGTCTTCTGTCATCGAGAAACAAAGCGACGCAACAGATCGATCGATGCGAAACTTCGATATCACGAAGCGTGTCAGTCAGACCCTTTTGTCGGTGGAACAAAGAACTTTGGTTTTGTAACGATTAGCAGCAGCAAACTTGTTTATTATGGTAATGCGAGACCATCTTTATTCGCGATATTACTTCGTCTATCCCTCGAATCCTCCCTGCGTCATTCCCCGTTAAACGATCCTTTCTCCCTCGACGAAACTTCTTACGTTCCCCTCTTTCTCCGACTTCTTGCTAATAAGCTTGCAACGATGCCCTGCCTCTGTCTGCCGTCTCTCTTTCTCTCCGTTCGTCTTTCTTTTTCGTTTCTCGTCTTTCTCGTTTTCTCCTCTCTCATCGCGCATCTTCATCTCTGTCGCGTCCACGAGGCCCGCCTGATCGGCGAATAAAAAACGTTAAAACAGCCGAGTAACAAAAGAAAGATTAAAGTGGAGAGAATATATGGAGAGAGGCATGCGGCCTCTCGTTGTGTGCACCGTTGCGTTGTTGTGCCGCTGCTCGCTCGGTTGGTCGGCGGCTCTCACGAGCCTTCAGAGCGACAAAGCCACCGGAGACTCGTAAGAGCCGTAAGAGGGTTTCAGGAAAACTTCTCTTCGTAATTCTCCAGATTACGTAAACTTGTTGCGACTAGTTTCGATCAAACGCAAAGAGTCCTCGTTCATCGAAGGGTTCTTCATACGAACGACTCGGCCGTTCGAAACTTTTACGAAGATTCCGTTCTGTGAGTCAATTATAACGTAAGTACTTTTTCTCAAAAAGTATCCTCCGATGATGTAACCTCCTATACGACGTCTATATTTTATCTTACGTTACGGTTCAGTGAGGTAGTTTGAAGTTTCTCCAGAAAGGTATACACGCCTTTCTTTTTTCATCGGAGCCGCGGAACGTGGTTAGGAGGAAACTAGAGAGAACTGTATCTACTCTGTGGAGTAAGGGGAGAAGGGAGGAGAGACAGAAGAAGCTGGAGAGAAGGGCTTCGTGTGCGTTTAAAATAAAAAGGGAAAGAGGGAAGCAGCGGGAGGTCGAGAAGGCCCGGGCAAAAGAGAGATACGGCCGACATGCCTGGAGCCGAAGAAGACCCGTCCGAAAACAAACAGACTGCTTCGCGGGGTCGTTCGTTATGCGTCCATGGCATATTAATTATTTCCCGACGGGCTCTACCCCCTGTCCCCCTCATTCTCTGCCCATGTTGCTCGTATTTCTTTTTTTTACATTTTTTCTTCGGTTGCTAAACGATTACAGGTTCGAGAAGCACGTGAATCGATGTTCTCCTTCGATTTCTTTTACTGCATTATTTTCATAACAATTTCTCGATACGCACACTGCGAGTGTTCAGGCATTTTTTATCAAGTGCGCGAAACATTTGCTCAAATCGGTTGGAACTAACGATTAAAAATGTGAAACACGTGGTCAAAAGCGAAGCATTGCAAAATTCGTTCCACATTCGACAGATTGCCTCGATTTAATGACGTTATAATCCGTAATTTATGTAAATGCGCGCGTGTGTGTTGCGAATTGAATAAAGATCACGGGAGGAAAGGGGAGAAAAAATATACGTTGCGATGCCGCGGGCAAAAAGGTAGACAGGTCTGAAATGCTTGACGAACGTTCTCCTCTGTGTGTTTTGCGCTCGTAAAACTGTCCGATTTCTTCGGGCATGATTGGCGAATTCTTCGTATCCGTATCTTTCGATAAAAGCTTCTAGCGACGCACACTACGGGAGTACGCTTTCGATGATACTTAACCTTTAACATACTGACGTTAGATATGTGTAGTCGGCCGGGACATCGGATATATCTAACGAGATACACGTGCTGGTTACTTGTAACTCTCAGATAAGCTTGTTTATTTGTTAAAACTACAACAACAGGCTCGAGGGTTCATTTCATTTGCTCTTTATCTGGGATTAAATATTCATTTATGTAGACGAATTCCAACTACATCACATCTCACCCTGTTGCTCGTTCGTGTAAAAGTTAGCTAATTAATCGAATACTTTTCGCCAATTAACTCGCGAAATATATATTTCCGATTTCATATTGTATGCGTTGGATGAAACATTTTGAAATTTCATTAGCACCGTAACGGAATTGTTACGATTATACCGGCAAGAGTTTCAAACCAATCTGAAAATCTATACGTATAGAAGTTATAAGATCTTTACTGTAAATCTGTATCGAGTAAAATTTGGCTAACGGCATAAATGGCCACTTTAAACGTACGAAAAGCGTTAAATACGGTCCGCAGTGAATTATGGCTTATCGATGTAATGGACAAAACTCGTGTATGATCGTCGGGTCTCGTTGCGACGCTAATGAATTCTCAAAACGTCTTGTATAATATACACAAAATATGTTCATAAATTTCAACGTACGTAAACGCAATGTTCTTTGAAACTATTTTCTCATTAGGCTTCGTTAGAATTTCACTCGGCAATAAGAAGCTCGCTGGGCAAAGCCCGACCCGATCGACGTGGAATTCAACGAGCAAAAAGATAATCGATACTCGCGTCGATAACGAGTCGCTAAAAGCGCTCTACGAAGGGTTTATCCAAACGACTCGTGCAACATGCCCGAGGATAGAAAGCCGTGCTCGACGGAAACTTGATTTGAACGAGCCCCGTTGTATATGCAATTAGAAGAGCGACGACCCATGTACATACATGCACGGGTTGCGTCGTGGCTGAATGTACACCACCGCCGGGAATGATGAAACTAATGAGTTTCTCTCGGTTCCTTCAAGTGTATCCGTAATGCACGTACATTGCGTAACAACGTCCCTCGTATGCGCGCACATTTATTTAAATCTAGTAGATTTTATTTTGTTGCAGAGGACGTTTAAGAGGAGACGAGCCGCGGCTGCGCTAATGGCATTACTTGGCCAATTACAAGGTGAACCGAATCGTCGATGACTACGAATATTGGATTTTCTAATTAATAGGAACAACGTTGACTTGTTATGTAATGATAATTAGTGGCCGTTGTCGGGTAACGCCGATTAATTATCAGCTCTATTCGTTTCGGTTTAATCACGCCGAGATTTATTTTGCTTCGTTGGTGGTATACTATCGAATACAGGTAATTCGCGATCTCTGTTCAGTCGACGAGGGAAAGGACACACGCGTGACTAATTTCACAAAATTCTCTCATTCTGCTTAGCTAAAATATTCTATCTGCTACTACAAGATTTATCGAGGAAGTTTTATCGTTTTCTTTGTGCGATCATTGTCCTTTTTTTCCGTTCGATTTAATTATAATTTAAAAAATGCTAGATAGGATATTTTTAGCAAGACGGACACGTTAAGATTCGTATTTCGATTTTTGTTTCCTTCTCACCTGATCGCGTGTTACTCTAACGAAAGCGTGACGAGAGAAAGTTTATCGCTGTTCTCAATTGTTCATTCCGGTAACCGCGTTATGAGGTAATTGTTAAACACAGAGTGACTCGGTTATCTTAATTTCTAATTAGTAACGTCCATCGTTCTAAATTGCCGCAATTAGTATTCTACTGGGACATAAAGCGCGTTGGTGGCCAAATGTCACCATAGCAGCGTTGAATTTCACA